CAGTAATCAAAGTGTTAAAATTCATTTCATGCATATCTCATTTGCTTCTTAGCTGATATTTACCACGCAATTCTGTGAGAAAGTAGAGGCCTAAGATGCTCCAGATAAATGGCTCAATTAATTGTACAGAGGTAGACCTCTTTGAGCTGAGCCAGAGCTGTGAGCTCTTTATTAAAAGCACTATTCTGTAGCCCCTAACCTTGTTCCTTGACTCCTCTCTGGTTTCCAATTTAAACAAGTCCCCATGCGGCCCGCTCTAAAGGGCTTTGTCTCCCTGTCATTGTTAAGAGAGCTGAGGCATCCTGGAAGTGTGAAATCAGACCTCATGAGTTGAACGGTTCCCCAGGGAACGCCGGACTGCGCAGAAGGTCAAAGTCATGGGCCGGACCATCTAAAAGTGTCTGATCGCCGGTCTGTGACACAGCAAGTTGGGGGTGGGAGCTAGACTGAAGAGGACTGAAATTGAACACATCTTAATTAAAGCCCACAGACAGCAAAACAAAATGTTTTCCAGGCAGCCTGTCAAATGGGGCTTAAATTTAGCTCTGCTAATGAATCTGAGCTGCTAACTGTTATTTCTTAAGATAATAAGACTCTCACGAAAGCTGATAAAAAAAAAAAAAAAAAACTGTAGCATGTCTTTTTCTGCTGTTTTGTTACTTAAATATTTTCCAACAATGAAGACAGTTTTCCAAAAGGAAAACATGGGGAAAGTCTATGCAAATAAAGGGGTAGTAAACATCTCTCTTAATAACTAGTAGGTTTCCAGACAACAGGGTTGGTGTGTTGCAAGTCTTTGTGTATAGCCTTGTTTTAGGAGGGGAAAAAAAAACAACTCTCATTTAATGGGACAATTTCAGTGACAGATTCTACTAATTGTAAAATTCTTTCTCTCTCTCTCACTTTTTCTTTTCCTTTTCCTCTATTGTTTCCTGGAAGAGATGGTGCATTAATTTGCGAGATCAATTCACCTGGTGTGGAAAGTTTTATATTATTGTACCTTTTAGTACAGTGAAAAGGTAGGGCATCTTTTGATGGGTTTCACAGTTCTCCCATATTACTGTTCCTGAAACTGAGTTGCTCGTCTCCCTGGGGAGGTTATGACCTCTTCCTTAGGAGCTCAAACACACACACACACACACACACACACACACACACACACAAAAAAAAAAAAACCCAGGGGGAAATGAAAGGGAGGGGCTGAGGAGAAGAACTCTTTTCTCTTTCTTCTCTTAGAACTTGAAAGAACCAATAGGCTAGGTCTAAATACTCTGCAAAGAAAGCCTCACTCAATTTAGAAGACTTGAAATGTTCAGTTGAAAGCAGAAATTAGGCCCTGCTCAAGGAAAAGAATAATTAGAAGCTAGAAAAGACAAATTACAACATGAACCATTTCCCAGTACCCCCCCACCCCCATTCCTTTTTCCCTCATTGTCCTTTCTATTCTCACAATCCATCCAGTTCTGAGGAACATGTGATTTAGTGGAGAGAATCTTCCCCAGTGAACACAGGGCCAGACAGTCTCTAGGTTTTTTGCTTTGATAGTGCAGAAAGACATTAACCTTTTCGATGGTTAGTTGAAAGGTAAGTAAGTTGTACTGAGCGGTATTTCTCTGTTACTCCAACTTTTTCCCTCACGAAGAATTTAGCAGACCAACTTTTCAAACCCGAGTACCACTTTCTCAGGCTGTGAAAGGCTGCCCACAATTTGACTGAAATTTCAATCCACTCTTGTGCCCTGCTCAATGCATGTGTATGTGTGGGAGTTGTAAATTGAGGCCTTAACCACCAGAGTTAATCTCTTTTTAAAATCTGTATTAACCTTAATGATTTGAAGTGCACTGTCCAACACTGGGCTATTGAGACGGAAGAAAAAACTACCCTCGACTATCAACAGTTTATTAGGGGCTTAACTGAAGTGACCTACTGTAGTAGTGTTCAGCTGAACAAGGCTATAGGCTTTTTGTGGAAAGGGAAAGAATTGAGGGTTTCATTAAAAAGTAATTTGTGCTTTATACTCACTCATTCAAAGAGAGTCTCAATTGCTCTTTATTCACACAGAGTTAATACAGTATCACAATGTTTCTCAATGAATGTGTTGTAACAAAAGAAAAATTTTACATTTTGAAAGGGAAAAATTCTTTGTGACTTCAGTAAGATTGATGGCTACTTAAAAGATTACAGAATCTCACATTAAACAATGGAATATGAAAATTAAATTTTTTTTTGCTTAAACAATGAAAGTTTAACTTTATGTCCAGATCATTGAAAATATTTTAAAAAWTGGGCAAAATTGGTCAAATATAAGTTTGTCTTGTTGGAATGGTCTAGAAAAAAAGTGCTCTGAAGCCAAATATCTTATAATAATACCTTCATTTGTTCTGAGTCAGAAAATATTCTTGGTTTAACTCGGAAAATTATCCGTGATTTAACATCTCCCCTCTCCATCTAAACACTTATAAATGGATACTTATTTGAAGATTTGAAGACAGCACTATTCATTGAATTCCCTCTTTTCAAACTATTACTTAACATTGTGTAGAGCTTGACTATTATTAACCATTGAGATGTACATCACATCTTTGAAGTTCTTCTTTGAATGAATAAGAGATAAAACTACAGACAGAGCTTACTTGTACATCAAATTAACTGACAAATGGGGCCATCAGGATACACACACACATACACACACACATATACACAATCTTTTCAGAAGAAAAGATTATTTTTAAAATTGGTGGTGCATTCAGACATTTCTGACTTAAATACATGGTTCTCAATTTTTTGCCACCATCACAAATGTCATAAACCACAAAAGTTCCAAGAGTGAGCAAGGTCAAAGACTGAATTATCCTTTTGCCCCTGAATAGTTCAACATCTCTCTTGTTCAATTCAGAGCCCATTAGATTATAAGGTCACCACGGAATGAGAATCATTAGATTTATATCCCTAAAACTGGAGGAAAAAAAATGGGGACTTTGTTATTTAGTATTCCCCAAATTAATGTTCATTTTATCAAATCAAAATCATGTCTCATTGAATCCCTAGAGGAAAGGCTATTGTTATTCACATCGATTTACATAGAGCCATTAGGAAAGAAATATCTCTATTTTTTCCAGCTTTGAAAGAACATGTACTTTAACTTCCATAGTGGCATACAGGCCAACTAGGTTAACATAGTTTGCATATTCATGAAGTTTTAAAATCAAAGACAGCTTCTTTCTAAGAGAAGAAAAACCTACACAATAGTACTCAGCTTGAATAATGGACAGGTAGCTAAGTGTTTGAAGTAAATGGCACTTGAATTTTTCTATAAGAAATTGTTTTCCCAGATTAATCTGATTGTGACCATACCAGAAATAAAATTCATAAGAGAGAAAATGAATAAACKTAACATTCACTAATTGTTTAGCACAAGGAGTCAAGTCAGCTTACATGCAAACAGATTTCCAAACTATCCTTTCTCCCACTGTTTCTAGCTACACCTAGTTTGAAAAACTTTGACAGTTCTTATTTATCTTCTTAGTCACAAATGAGCTGATAATTACTTCTTTAGAGAAACTATAAACTCCCAATATTTTTACTTTATCATATAATAAATAGTCACTTGATAATATGCAAGTAGTAAAACTTAAAAATACTGCTCTTTGGACCAAACACACTACTTTAGTTTGAAGGCAGTTATTTTTAATTTGTTTTTGATTTTGTTGAATGAATTACTAAAGGACACAATGATTTGCAGACCCTTGGATGGTAAGAAAAATATACTTCTCTCTTTCAAATAAGTCTGTTATCTTTTGCACCTTATCATGCTGATCATTCATAATGGTAAGTATAGTTCCACAAATAATAAGTGGGTACTCTCCATAAACCATGAAATTTGTATTAAAAGTAGTCAAGTCAGTCCATCTCAAGATAAATAATTTAATCAATGGAATAAACACCACCCATATCCTTATAAAATTTAGCAATAAACATATAACATGAAAACAGTTATAACGAAATGAGTAAATTTTTAAGAGACAAGACTAAGTTTTTCTTTCTTTCTTTCTTTCTTTCTTTCTTTCTTTCTTTCTTTCTTCCTTCCTTCCTTCCTTCCTTCCTTCCTTTCTTTCTTATTTATTTTTTGGGAGAGGGGAGTTCTTGGGACTGAACCCAGGGTACTCTACCACTGAGGTACAGTCCCAGTCCTCCCCCCTTTGTTTTTGTAAAACATGGTCTCACTAAGTGGCTAAGGTTGGGCTTGATCTTGCAATCCTTCTTCCTCAGTCTCCCAGGTAGTTGGTAGGCATATGCCACCATGTTTTGGCAAGCCTATGCCATGGTTAAACACTTTAAACAATCCTGATGTTTAGTTTAGATCCAGAATGATCTATGGGATATGTTAAGAAATTTGGACAACTAGGAGATTGAAGGAACAACATAAATATTCAAGAGTCCATAGTAATTATTAAGCACTACTCATCTAAACTTCTTAGAGACCTGTGCAACAGATTTCATGCATGTGTAAATTACAAGTATTTGGTTATGGGGGAAGCCGATATTCTCTGAGAGAAGATAATTCAGCATTACTTCAATATACTAAAATGACAATATCTGGAAAATTATTTATAATACATTGATTCAACTTTGGGGAGGGCAACAATTCAAAAGTTATTTTTCTTTTATTGTTTATTTTTAATATATTACCCTGCCTTTAAAAAACAGAATTAGTATAAAAATTAGAAGTATAAAAATCATGGGGTTGTGGGGCTGGGAATATAGCTCAGTTGGTAGAGTGCTTGCCTTGCGTGCACAAGGCCCTGGGTTCGATCCCCAGCACCAAAAGAAAAAAAAATTAATGAGGTTGGAAAATCTTTGTTAAGATCAACCCTGAATTTTTATATTCAAATTAGTTACTCTGAAATCCACTCAGGTAAAATGAAGAGTTGGAATATTCAGTGGAGTAGCTCTTGGATACTGCCCCACATGTGCCATAGGAGAATTACATCCTTTCTTACCTGTGACATCAGCAGCCATCAAACCTTCTGCTCTGATGACTTTCACCTGGAGAAATCCCACATCTTTTAGGTTGTGGAATATCCTCAGCGGGCTCTGAAAGACCCCAAGGTTGTTATTAGAAAAGAAAACTCCTACGGAGTCTCAAAGAGTGTGCTAAGAAAATACTAAGTTTTGTGGATAGCCTGGGATATTCCCCAGAGGGTCAAAAGTTCATTTGTCTTTCTCCAATACAAATTACCCTTTCATCATCATGAATGTACATACACTCACAATTATGTAGCTAATTATTGCTCTATAAGTAGATTTTCTGAAAGAATAAAAAATCACATTTATTCCCCATAAGTAATTATCAATAAATGGTGAACAACAAATTATACAAAAAATGTCTACTTTTTTTTTTTCTTCTCTCAATGCCCTCCATCAAAACACTCCAAGAAATCTTTCATCTGTAGAGATGATGGTTTGAAGACTAAGGATTCCTAATAGTAGTGAATCTTTACGTTGTTGGTCATAAAACACATGGGGCACAAGCAAAAAGTCAACACTAAATTAATTAATTTTTCTATTAATTTCTTCTTGGTATCTTTTAGAAACTTCATGTACTAGATTAAGGATAAATTAAAGACTGTTTACTAATGTTTTATTCAAAAGACAGTGTAGTTCTATAAATCTTTTAGGGAGAAGGCATGATATTTTAAACTAAATAAAACTGATGACTTGAAAATTAATTCAAAAGGAGTAATTTTTTCTTAAACCTATAGTTTTACTTGGTAGCATATGTATGGCAATTTTGATAGAAGAATCAAATGATAACAGTTATTTTGCTTCCTAAGTTCATAATTGTGATTTTTAATAAGCACAGTACTTGCAGAAATTAAAAGCAGGAAACCAACACAACAATTCARAAATCTAATTAATGGGCACAAATACTCTGAGAATAAAATGAAACTCTAGACAATGAAATGCATTTGTTGATTTACACTTCATAGCGTTTTTCCTATGGCGAGGTCAGCTTTTCTACTCAGCATCAAAGGCACTTCTTTATCATCATCTTTAAAATGTTTCATGACCAGGGAGCATAACACACTTTTGCATAATAAARTTATCTATTAAAATGTTGCTAGAGTAAAAAGCATCCCCATTATTGTATTACCAATGTGAGAATACTGACAAGCCCAAAGCTTCCTGTGATATGAACTTTATCAGTCCCCTATGACTAGTCATTGTTTACACTAAAGATATGCCCTTGGTACCCTGAGAGAAGGAAATACAGATCTATCTGTAATCTCATAGCCTAACTTTTTAAAAACGATGTTAGCACAAGGATTAACTCTTAATCTTTTTTTTTTTATTGGTTGTTCAAAACCTTACAAAGCTCTTGACTTTAAACAGTTGTTTATCACCAAAAATCTGTTTTAAATACCCACATGACACAGTTTAGTAAAAAGGTACTTCTCTTTCCATTTAAATTCTCATAAATTAAGGGTTTTAACAGTGGGGGTTTTAGATAGCAGTATTGTAATTCCAAGGTTTGTAGGCACATTGTGCTCCTACAGTAACAATCAAGTTTGGGAAGCTTTTTATCTGAGAAGTTAACTAATGCAATAAACCAGACAAATCCCCTACCCTAATGATAGTTTGATAGTTTTATCAAAAGGTTCCAGTACTTATAATTTTTCAGAAGCAATTTTAACCAAGTTTCATCATGACTAAAACAAATATCATCAGTCCCCATGTCTGAGAACCATTTCATTCTGGTAATCTCATTCCACAGACACCCTGTCTTCTGATGCTTCTTCAGCTCTGATGTTCTGCTACCCATTTGGAGGGGTAATTATTGTTTGATGGTTTCATTTTTCCAAGTCAGCTGACGCCCAGTAATTTATTGCAAATTTCAACTGTTTTAGGCCACTGATGCACAGATATTATTATAATAAGAACTCAAAAAAGCAAATAAATACATCAGTTTAAAAATATAACTTTAAGTAATACTTCATCAAGAGATATTTCTGTCTTGTTATTTATAGTTATTTTAGAAGGCCTCAAAACCTAGATGGCTTCTGAAGCCAGAAATTTCCATAGCAGAGGAATCTATGATTTGCTGTGAATCCTTTCAGCCCTCAATAGATGGGAAAAGATTGAAATGCTCTGGAGAGGAGTCCTCTTTATTTTTTTAATGAAAGGCTGTATAATATATTTTCTCTATGGCTGCAGCAGCTGTCAGGGAGAGCATCTCAGTTCAGCTCTATTACGGGAGAGGCAATACCCCAGCCTATGGCATCGAGATGCTCTGAGGGGCCAGAGCTGATTGACAGCTTGTCACCGTGACGTCTTATTCCATCTCTGTTATGGAGAAAATTAATGTCACACCACCAGCCTTATGACTCGCTGTCATCTTAGAACCGCTCACCTTTTATCAATGCTCTAAATAACATTTCAAGCCCATCGTCTCACGGTGGACAATCCGGTCAAGGGACATTAAATCAGATGACTGTGAAATGTCATAATAAAAATGGAATGCTAACAACTTCTTCTCTAAACTAGCTCCTCTGGTTTTTAAACTGTGACAAGGGGGAGCAAGGGTTCAGCATACCCGTTCTGAGAAGGTCATACAATCGCGCTTGGTCTACTACCCATTACTACCCGCCCCCTATTGACCTTCCCTCCCTCCCCCCCCCACAAAAAAAGAAAAAAAAAAAAGAAAAATGGAATTAGCCATCTTTTCAGAATGGGGTGATCAAATAATGGCCCACATAGGAATGTCTGTTTAATTTGTGAGACTTCAATGTTTAGCAATGAACAGCTAAACAACAGCAAAGGAGAGATTTTTCAAGGGCTGTTTCGTATGAGAGTCGGGGAAGTTCATTTACTTTTCTGCACACAACCAAAGCCAAATCAAATACTTAAGTTTAACCTTAACTTTTAAAAACATACATGTCCTTACAAGAAAACATAAATAATTCTCCAACATGTAACATCCTTTATATGTTTCTCCAAAACAAGGGATATTTTAGACATGATACAGCATCTATTCATTTCAAAATACATATAATAAAAAAGAAACACACCACAGCCCTAAAATATAGCTCTTTGTCCCTGTATGGCTATGAGAAATTATAACACATGTGCTATACTGATAGTATAGTTTCTTAGCAAGTAAGTCTCTAGAGGGAGGTATAGGCCTGTGCCTGAAGTTCAAGGCTGTGAAAAAGTACATTAAAATATGGTTCACTTTTTAATATATTCAGCAGAATATAAGCTGAAAACTCACTGGAACATCCAAATAATATTTTAAAATTTACTGAAATAAGTAGGGGTTGAAAGAAGATGGGCAACAAATACTCAAGTTCTGAATGAAAGGAAGTCCATGCAGCAAAGAAAAATTAGATCAATAATAGATGGATTACTTCTAATTACCTGAACAGAAGTATCACCTCCATATATAGGATAATAACATTGTAATCCATTAACTACAGTATCACAATACCTAGAAGAATTTTTACATTAATATACCAATTAATTTCTTTATAATAGTTTTAACTCATAGAGTTCACTTTTGGTAACAATATGTTTTGGTACATACCAATAGTGAAATAATTTTCATAATTGCAATTATAGATTAGAAGATGCCACATAATACCTTAAGCTTTTAGGTGGCTTAAAAATATATACTATTTAGCCTTGCTAAGTCACCTCCATTAAACTGTTTATGATAACACCATTGGTGGATGAGTTGAACAAGCATTAGCAGACAGCTGATTCAGTGGAGATAGCCAGAATAAATTTGCTGAAGCGCACATCCTGCTAATCTGTTTGAAGAATATTGTAGAGCATTAGTACCAGCACTTCATGTTATCTGCACAGCCTGATAAGGTACATCTTTATTAAATTCGGTTATTGAAAGGATGTCAGTCAGCAAATAGGAATATTTTTTTAAAGCCATTCTTTGTTAGTCAGAGCTTGGTTTCATGGCTGAGTGTCTAGAGGAGACTTCTAAACACCTGGCAGCATTGTACAATACAAGCTTTGTAATTTTAAGTGGAAGCTTTTCTCCTCAGCTTCATGGGTACTGAGGCATTTACTTTTCCAAGCTTCCATTGAGAAAGAATGGTGGAGTAAGAGCTCCCCTCTCTGTTGATTCAATAAAACTACACAGTGGGAAATGCACTGTGGGAGGTTGCTGGGAAATAAAGATTTGGTTGCAAATATTTGGGTTTGGTAAGATTTGTGGAGGGTAGTTATTTTGGTGGCTCACTATCCTACCTTCTCACTCCATATTTGATCAAAGGGAAGGAAGCTCCCTTTTAATTGCATTTAATTTTAAAAAATTAAAGGAAAGAAGTGAGGCTTTTCTAAGGCATTGAAAATAAAAATCACTTCTGTGAATACTCTCTAGTTTACCAAGCTTCTAATTAACGCAAGTGCCATTAACCCCATTTTCAAACTCAGAAAAACAAGGAAATCATAATTGCAACGCTACAGAGTCAATGAGTTAATTTAAAAGTAATGTTTGTGTAAACTTGACTTTATGATAAGATTCTCTGCATGATAAACTCACTGAGCAGAATCCAGAACTTGCTCTGGAGTTGATTCTGGAGAAGAATGAGGGTCTAGACATGGGTGGGTAAAAGACATGAGTGGGTAAAGCAAGTGCTCCTGCAAAGTCTGTGTGGCATTTGTATGTGTCCAGTGTTTTGCTTCTGCTGAACCTTCCATAAGACAACTTATCAGAAATACATCTATCACTCAGGGTACATTGTTTACAACCTCATCTAGTCACATGTGACTCCAGAAGGAGGAGAGTTACATACGTACATATCTCTTTAATATCTCCTCCCGCTCTTTCTGGTCCTCCAGGGAGTTGACGGAGAGGTCAGAGATACTGACTGTGGCAGAGGCTGTCAGAGTGACGAGCAGCACCAGGTGTCCCTCACCCTCTTCCAGCTGCAACTCCAACTTGTGTGTCTGTTCCCTACTGAGGGACGACAGGTCGACCTGGCACCTAGAAACAAATGTTTTGAATCAGCAAGTGGCTTTTTTGCCACATCAAACAGCAGAAGTGAGGGCTGCTCAGAGGTATGTGAAAAGTGAATCAATAGAAATATTATCTGGCCCACTGAAAGAAAACATTTTTCATGTTAGCTGACATTCTTCAAAAATTCAGATCCTGGTTATCTTAGGGTCTGTAATTGCTCACTTCCTATAAGACACCCAGAAAAGTAGTTTTCTGAAATTGGATTATTATCCATTGCAACCCTATTCAGAAATGGTGAGGACTTCCCATCCCTAGGTGACCTAGGAACTGGGTTGAAGGGGCTTTGCTTCCAGAAGGACTGACATAAAGGGTCTAGGGAAGCACAAGTCTCAGTTTTGTGTCACTTTCAAAACAAGGTGCATTTTCCCTCTCATTCATAAATGTTACTAAGTAGTGAATAATAAACGTACTACAGTGGTTCCATAAGTGTTACATTTTGAAACCCAGGCCAATTTACTCATAGTACACTCCATAAGTCTAAATAAAAGTGCCTGAATCCCCTGAAACACTCTACCCCAAGTGTTAGGACCTCACGGGGTTCTATAACTTGGCATCTCATGCTTTATTTGCCACTCTCAGAGCTGAACACCGTGCAAACACTTTTCATAAAAATGTTACTTGATTTGGAAGAAACAGATAATATGGTGACTATAAGTTCTAATAACCTGAGAAAAATGTGGCAGTCATGAATAAATGGCATTTAAAACTGGATATAGCCAATGATAAGAACAAACACGGTTCAAGTGTTATAAACACAGTGGTAGGCAATCAGGGCCACATGAAATTCTTATTCTTTGTTTTTTTGTTTGTTTGTTTAAGTTTTTTGGTACCAGGGATTGAACTCAGGGGTCCTTGACCACTGAACCACATCTCCATACCTATGCTGTACTTTATTTAAAGACAGGGTCTCACTGAATTGCTTAGCGCTTAGCTTTTTACTGAGGCTGGCTTTGAACTCGCCATCCTCCTGCCTCAGCCTCCCAAGCCACTGGGATTACTGGCACACGCCACTGTGCCTGGCTCTTATTCCTTTTTCATTCCTCACTCTCTTTGTTCATTATTGTTCCACTTTTAAATTAAATGTCGAGAAACTGATCCTCAAAACTTCTAATGGGGTTTAAACATCTGCTTAATGTGAGTGATTTTAGACAGACATTAATTTTTGCATATCACTTAATTTGAAGGATGGCTGTGCCTAGACACAATCGGAAAGAGAGCAACATAACTATAAGAAATGAAAACCAACAGTAAGGCCCTACTCAATGGTAGGAAGTCTGTGTGTGCTAAATGCTCACTGTATTGAGAAAGCAAGAAGTTTAGATGCCAGAACACGAGAATAAATCATTCAGGGTCACTCCAGGTAAATTAGGTTGGTGTGAAATAAGCACACAGACAGAATACCCTTTTTCTCTGGGCTCAGCGACAGCTCCTCTGCTCCAGCATCCACAAGGGAGGCAATCGAAGGACGACAAAAGAGGGAGAAGCACATTCTGAAGCCCTTTTTTGAGGGGAACACACTCCAGAAAGTTCCACCCTAAATGAGGCAAGGGGTCAAGTTTCAGGGGGTTGAGTCTAGCTTTGTGATGTCTTGTGGTCAGCAGACTGACTGACATCTTGGAAGGCAATGCCCATCTCATTGGGTAATGCCCACACCCAGAGCTGCACCTTCCTTACTGAGCAGGGGCAAGTCCACATGGATTGCAGAGGGTGCAGTGCCAGTCCAGTACCTCTTTACTCCAGACTTAAAGGCATGTGCTTAGCTTCTGTTCAGGGCAGCCCCCTACAGAGTTTTGTGAAATCTGAAAAACACCCTCTTAAAACTAGCATTTACATAGAAAACCTCTTTGTTTCTTCTAACACAACATTCATTTCAAAATACTCTATGCTGTCTCTTCAAACTTTCAAGAATGATAAAAATACATCAAATGTCTTATCTAATATTTTTATTCAAATTAGAATAAGTTCTTATCAAGAACAACAAATTGAGGGTAAAAAATATAACTGAAAAGTAACCACTGTAAAGTATTCTCTAATAAAAAGGAAAGACATGAATATGGTTTTTTAGAGTTTTTTTCCAACACTGGGCACAATGCATGTGGCCTGTAATTGGTTGAATGGCAGTGAATCTCTGGCTTGGATCAGGAATGTAATACCAGAGAATCAAACTGGAATTGTAATGCAGACAGTACTCTTCACTTCTGGATACAGTTGGTACCCAGAAGGGTCTTCCCTGGGCTTTGTTTTTTCTTTTCTTTTTTCACTCACATTGATCATGTATTCATTTTCCCTGTTCCTTCTTTACTTACTCTTACATGCCACTGCCTTGCTCTTAAAAACGTCTGGACGACTTCTGGAGAATTTCCTTCCGTGCCTGTCACTTTGCACTGGTTGTGCAGATGTGGGCTTATGCTTCATTTACATCAGACTCATTACACACAATGCTCTAGAGCTGGGGAAGGTGCTGTAAGATTACTTGCTTCAGGAATTGCAAACTGGAAACTGGAATCTGATGTATAGATGGGTTGTTTTTGCTGGTAGTGCACTAAATAAAGTTCTGAATCTAACGCAGTAATTTTAAATACAGGGCAAATGCCCTCTGAATTAGTTACTGTCCTCAGTACTTCCTGTTAGTTACAGCTGGCTATTCACTAAATTACTCTACCTGGTTCCAACAGACATAAGGATTTGTGATCCCTGTGCTCTTTAGTTTGTCAATGAGGAAAACTGAGGGCCAGAGAGGTTAGAAGGGATTAATAGAGATCCACAACAGAACCAACAGAATGTCAACAGAACCAGAACTTATAACTCTGGAATCCAAGATCTAGTCTTAAGCCACTGTGCATCCCAAGAGAAAAGTGTGCTGGTAGCAGTGGTTCTTAGAGTTGGTAATACCTTTATTTGTTTTTAAATAGAAAAAATTATCTTAATTTCCAAGTATATAAAATTATGTTGTTTTATTCTAATTTATATATATGAATTAAATATATATTTTATTCTAATTTATATATATGCATATATATATAAATTAGGGAAGCAGGCTATAAGTTAAACTTTTATAAGATTATTAAGAAAATTTTGCACATTAAAGTTTTAAAACTAAGAAACTAATAAAATTTAAATTAATGATATAAATTTATAGGGAATATTATGCTTTTCCATAGCAAATAAAATTTCAATATTGAGTATACTCTCAGAAAGGTTTYCTCTCAAGTCCTGTCCTACCTTTAGTGTCACACAATTCTGACTTTAATAATTCTAATGTGGAGAGTACTATTTACACCAAGAGAAAAGAGAATATGAAATGACTTCAAGTTTCTTTGTGCTAGTTGAGGTTATTCAAACCTGCTATTTGTCTAAAATTTGTTTAGGAATGAGAAGCCATTTTAAATAAAGCGTCACTTATAATTAGGCAAAATAACTCAAGGATAAAGTCCGTATTGCAGCTTCACTGATGAATAGCAAATCAAATTATTGCTGGAACTGGGCAGAGACAAAGAATTTGCCATCCTCTTGTAGCTTTGGAATAAATATGTACAAAGATGCAACCCTTGTGACACAGTCTATTGCCCTATGGATGGGTGTGGCAGTAATCTTTGTGGGACAGTCTTCAGTATTTGGCTCACCTGTGCTATTACGTCCTGCAGAAGGGAAGATTCACTGTAGTTTGGCTATAGAAATACTAAGTGGCCATCCAGATGATGCAGTAGAGGCACATACTAATGGCTTTATATTGTTATTAAAATGAAAATGCAAAATTGAAAAAGCAATGATGTAATTTCATGAACTCGAAAAATACCTTCAGAGAATAGAGCCCAGAACAAAATCCCTTGGTTCTAGCCCTCCATTTCCCACTAATTAGTTGTATGACCTTTTAAAAGACAACTAACTTATCCTCTTGCATTTCACTTTTATCATCTGCAATTATGAGTTAATTGAATAGATGAACTTTAAAATTTTCAAAAAATCCCACAATTTTTTATAACTCTGTGTTTACACTTGCTACATCTTCCTTCTCTGAAATTTCACAAATCAAATAACTAAGAGAACAAGTTTATCTTATAGGCAATGTATTGCCTATTCTTCAAATGTATTACTAAAAAACATCTGAATGTTGGTGCAAGAAGTAACCTGATCTAATTTAATTTCAAATTGCATTACAAGAAGCACCATTCTTCCATGGTGATCTTAGAAGTATAACATATCTTAGTGAAAATGTGAAAAAACTGGCTGTAGATTCTCCTCTTTGATTCAACGAGCAAGTCCCCTTCCATCTACCTGTTTTATATTGGAAGTTCCACATGTGTGATTTGAAAATATACCTAACATCTTATGCAACTCTCTAGGTTCTTCGGAAGCCATGTATCCTGGGCTCTCAGCTGCTTGCTTTGCCTCAGCTGCTCCTTTGGCTATCTCTCCAAAGATTCACTATAGTTTGGCTATGGAAATACTAAGTGGTCATCCAGATGATGTACCATCATCAATTGGTCATCCACCACCATGACCAATTGCCTATGCTTGGATTCTCATTAGTCTTCTAGTATAGGTGGTTATTCTTTCTCTTGCCAAAAGTGGGCAGGGCCCTCCTTTAGGATACTACTGTGCTCCAGGCCTAGCTGCCACATTCGAGAAGTTTCTGTTTTCCAAAGCCACTTCTGTACTTTTTGATGCAAAAACCACACTGTGTAAATGAGATCTGGCTCCCAGATCAACTGTCAATGAAGCTGGATGAGAACAATGCATAAATTGTCTCTTTGTGGGTCGAACTTAGATCAATGGAATAGAAGATGGAAAGGTAACTTCCATGCCATCTTTCTTCTCATGAACTGTTCCAAAACATGATTCCATATTACCTGGACCATACATGGCCAGGTGTATAATGTTAAGCAACAAGCTGTGTCTCTGAAATACAGGAAACAGTGACCAGCCTAGTAACATATTATTGTGTGTTGCTTCCTAGTCTTCCCTGA